ATTTATAATAACCTCCGAATGACGCCGTATAAGAAAACATATAAAAATCTACTTATATTTGAAAAAAACATTTAAAATTTTTTGACATATCAATGTTCCGAAGCGTTGATGCGTCTTCTCGTGGAACAATTACAGAAGGTAGAACAAAGCTACCCCCTAAACACAATTTTTTTCAATATAAGAATTTTGTTAAAAAAAATTAAATTAAATTAAAAGTCTACTTCACACTATAAGACTCCAGCACATAGTTGCATTTTTCTTGGTTCTTTGGAGTTGAGCAACCTTTCTTATTGAGCCATGCGTCTACCTGTATTTTTACACATTTCTTGAAAGAGATCAAAGGGGTATTTTCGGTTCTTTTTTCAATATATTATTATGATATCATGATCGTAGCAGGTCAAAATATTCTACAAAATTATTTGTTATAAAATTCTGTTATAAGATGTCGATAGTCTAAATCTCACCTCATATATACATATATTAGAAACACATTTTAGGTCCCACTTTATGTGAGTTTATGCAAAATACTCCAAATTCTAAGAAGGATGAGATCAAAGAGAAAATTATTATAATTCAATTATTTTCAATTTGCTGTATTAATACTTTTTGCGATAATTGTTGCTATCGCCCACAAGCACAACAAATCGCAAAAGCCCATTGACAAACAGTAACCGGCAAAGCTTTCCACTAACAGAGATAATTAGATGGTGTGTACTTCCACCTATAAATACAAATGCCGGCAATTGTACCACAAACAATACCAATAACAACAGACTCGAGTCAAGTTCAACAAAATACAAACGAAAATAAATTAACATGGAAGTGGAGACAGAATATCGCTATCAAATCGAACGTTTTCAAATCGCGGCATTCATAGAAAAATTATACAAATATTTTTCCATTTTGTTTATATTTTACTTATGCCTGGTGACGCTGCATGCCCAGACAAAAAAGCCCGGCTTATCATTGATGGGTGTGTGCAATAATGATGGAGAAACGTCCCAAGAATTATGCGATTCCCAGCAGTGGAATACATATTCATATGGTGGACTTAACTATGATTTACTACAACGCTTTGAAAGTGAAAAACATGGCATCTGGCATGGTTGGCTGTTTTGGACTTAACCGCCGACAGATATATAACAATTGGAAATAAGCACTATGGAATATCCAAGAATAAAGCTTGGAATGCAATCATCTTTAAATAAGAACATAGAGAAAATCCGACAGTTTAAAAGCATGTAGGAAAGCAGAATTAAATATTTCCACACTTCAGGAACTAATAGTGGTGACATGTATCCGATATACACGCTGAGCGTTAAAGTAGCTTTCCGCTACTTATGAGTATGAGTATATTAAAACAACAAATAAATGCAATTTATGTAAAACGAAACAAACACAATACAATAGTTTTATTTTTTATTTGGAAAAGAAGTAAACAAATAATCTAGATAAAGTGTAATTTATATATTTATGTGAAATTTTGCAATTAAACTTACATCTACTTTCATCACATCACGATGGAAAAACAATAGAGGTAGTCTAATTTGCTAAATCAAATATGGCAACCCTTTTTCAACGAAATCGACCTTGTGTAGCATTCGAATGACGTTTTATTTTAAGCCAGTCTTTGTGTGTCATACAACCAGATTCAAGAGCTGAAGAGTTTTTCAATAGTTGTGTCTGGTTACTTTTCCTGTTACAAATTTTAGGGTAAACAGACGCACCTAATATCTGCTATATGGATTGTGTACTAAAAGGAAAATATCTGTATTGTATTTAATGTCCGTTGTCTGGCCGGGCCAAACTTGAATACCGTCAACCATTTGGAACGAATTTGACAATTTTCAAAAAATAAAATCCGTTGAAAGTTCTGTTCAAATCTTAAAAATACCGAATGTAGCCATTATATATGGGTCTATACGAGGACGTGGACCTTCATCATCAAAAAATCGAATATAGAGAGGTACTATTGTATGGGGGCTTTACCAACACGTGGACCTGCACAGACAGAATGCATTAAAATACCGAATATTGGGAGGTACCGCTATATGGGGGCTATACGAAGACGTGGACCTGCACAGACACTTTTCTGTCTTAGGCTGTCGTATCCATTACGAACTTCAAATACAAAATTTGAAACAGTTCCAGTGAATGATGTCGCTAAAATCATCAAAATACCGAATATGGGGACGTTCCGTTATATGGGGGCTATAAGAAGACGTGGAGCTGCACAGGCAATTTAATGTCTTATGCTGTAGTATACAATACGAACTTTAACTAGCAAATTTGAAACATTTCCGGCAAATAATGTCACTAAAATCATCAAAATACCGAATATCGGGAGGTACCGTTATATGGGTGCTATACCAAAACGTGAACCTACATGGCCTATTTTCAATACCAAAAGTCGTGCAGACAACATACATTTGAGTAAAATCTTATCAACCTACTTCATTCCGTTCGGAAGCTAGAGTATTTTCTACAGACGGACGGACATCGCTAAATCGACATAGCATTTTATATATACTATATATATATATATATATACTTTGTGGGGTCTAAAATGTATATTTCGAGGTGTTACAAACCGAATGACAAACTTAATATACCCTCCATACTATGGTGGAGGGTAAAAAAATCGTGATTATAGCAAGATATTAGGTGCGAAATAACTAGAAAACATAAATTTGACAATGAAGGGACATCAAATGGAAAATTGTAGTCGTATGATTGCACGAGATTACTTTTTCCATTGCACCATGATTGTTACAAAGTGAATATTTTCCACGTTATGGGCATACAATTTTGAGATTAAACAATAATATCTATCTTGGATTCAATTTTGTAGAATAACCCCACACATTCATGTTTCTTGGTTTTTTCCAATAAACAAATCAACGTGTTTTAAAAGTCTCCTTGTCATTATAAGACTGTAGTGCAGTAGTTCCTTTGAAATTAAACTACCTCTCTGATTGTGCCACGATTTATTACTGTATTTAAAAATAACTATATATAACAATATGCATGTTATCATACAAAATGTCGGCTCAACTCTTATTATGATAATATCTCAACGCATTGTAGTTTATCGTACTATTTCACAATACGCTGAAAACTGCCAAAAACATGATCGATGCAAATTCCGATTATTAGGAATATACATATGCGCATTATATAGTATAAGAGCTTTTGTGAATAGACAAATATTTATGCGAAGTTAACATGCTGTGGTTGACAGTTGGTCTGTTCCCGAACCTGCAACAAAATGTGCAATTTCGGGATAAAACAATTTTGCGCTACTATCTTGGATTCAATTTTGTGAAGAGACCGCAATATTCCATTCAAGTTTTGTGGATTTTCCCTAATATAATAGTTTTGTGATTATTATATTGGGTAATATGTAATATGTAGTGTACAATCATGGTAGAATTAAAAAAAGAAATATGATTGTTTACAATTCTTTCAAAATTATTCGTTTATCAAAATTTATATTTGTAAATCCATTGAATAAACAGAAATCAGAGATGGGAACCTGTGTTTACATATTGAAATGACTTTACCTCCTTAATTTTACCATGTACACAACTTTCCATATACGGAAGTAGCACAATGTGGCGTTTCCACTGCACTTGATTCGTTCTCTATTCGTTGTACATTGTTCGAATCAAACCACTCTCAGAACAACGAAAAAATATGACATCCTTAACAAATGAGAGCATTTATCGAAAAAATAAAAGAAACATTTAATGAAAAATTTTGGGAAAACTGAAAATTATGAATAAAAACTACAATGTTGAATGGCGTATGTACATTCAAACGAAAGTAAATTTTGTTTTCTCTCTCATTCGAGGTACGCATTTTGTCCACGAGTTGAAATTTCCACAGAAAACTGTAATCAAAAGAGGCAATATTTTCAAAATGTTTTTATCGGCAAAAAAATGTTCAGAATTTTAAAATAAAAAAATACAAAAATATGTTCAAAATGTCAACATTTACGCAAAAAATTGAAAACGCGAATAAAAATTTTAAAATCAATGATATAAAAAATCTTTGGGAAAAAATCATTTCTTCTATTCATATTAGTGAGAATAACATGTACTTTCATATAAATTTCCATTAAAATCCACAAGCAAATTTTTTGAAAAAATTAATTATTGTACTATGAATTAATAATCGTGCCGTATGAACGGGTTAATTCGTGTACCTAATCATGGTAGAAGAATATAGGTAGACGCATCGACACAGCTGCTGGGACAATGAACTGTCAAAACAATTTGGAATTGAAAATGTTGAATGAAAAATTATTTAAATTTGTGAAAATTGTTGAAAAACCGCGAATTATAATGACCTGCGAATGACGTCGTATAAGAAAACATTTAAAAATCTGCTTATATTTGAAAACACATTTAAATTTTTTTGACATATCAATGTTCCCAAACGTTGATGCATCTACTTGTATTTTTCTACCATGTACCTAATTTTGAGAGCGAACAACGTGATTGAAATTGTAATGAGAACATAGCATTACTGGCCGACCTTATATAGGCCCATCGTACAATAAGGAGGTAGAACAGCTACGTAAAATAACAAAAATACAGGCCTGAGGGTATTCCCGCTTCCTGTCATTTTACATTTATTCAATATTTTTCTTCATTTTTAAAATCAGTTAAATAGCAGAAAAATGAATTAACTGCCTGGATTTCCTATCAAAAACATGATCTAAACAGTTCTATCTTTAATTCCATAGTAAAACTGGCGAATAGCTTTAATGCGCGTCTTACAATTTTGAAAATATTCTGTTTTTATTTTAAATACAAAGATAAAATTGGGCACACTTAGAAAAAAATTGTAATCAGCTGGTAGCTCTACCTTACCTTTTTATTGTACCATGTACCATATTGCTTCTACCAACATGTTTTTCGATACAATAAAGCAACGCTGCCTATCGATGTTGAAATATCGATAATTTTATCGATTTTTCACAACTACTACCACCACTAATCTGACGCCATATTGCCGTAGTAATAGAAACTCTGTGTTATTGTTTTGTGAAATCAGTGTTGTGTCGTTGTTTTTTCTTCATTTTTACGGTATTTATCATTTATTTTTTATTTAGAAAATATTAACTATTTATTACGTAGGCAAAAAAGATTAATAACAAAATATTATTAATCTCTTTCTTCTTCAATCAACTCAACGGTGACGACATCCCAATCTGTGTCGTATATGTGTGTATCATTTTCTGGAACAAAAATTGGGCAAATCATCACAACTTGCAAAAAAAAATCAAAACGTATCTCTCCCAACAATTGTAATTGTATTATACATACATTTTGTTGGGACTTCGCATCTTTTTCACAATGGATCAATTACATCAGTCAAGGAGTCTCAATCTAAAACAATCAACAATGGTAACTGAAGATCTTTATGTAAATGCAATATTTTGATCGATCGAGTAACAAATGAAATGCGTTATAAAGGAATGCATGTTTGTTTTGTAGTTAAACTACAAGGTGTTTGGCAATTTGTTGTTTATTACGAGTGAAATTTTGTATTTTCCATGGAACATACAATCTATTTTATGTTTAGACATTATATAGAAGATTCACTGAACGTGAGATCTTGAGAAAGATTTTCTATTAGATATCATGAAAACATAGGTGAAAGTCTTCTATCTACATGTAAAAGTCCTCTATTAAGGTCTTATATTTATAGAGGCCCTTTGATATCTTTTATCTACAAAACACCTGCCCATTAAGTCCCTAAAGAAATCTCTGAAGTCCAACAAAAGTTTTATCTTCAGGGGAAAATTTATTCTACAGAATTAATGTAGGATAACATCTAGTTGGGTATTTTATAAAAAACCATAACGGTAATTCCTCTAGAAATGATCTGTAAATTACCTTCTATGGAGATTTTTTATCGAAAAAAAATCAAACTATATTTTCTACATTTTTCTAATCAAACAAAGAAAATTGCCAAGCACCATAAACTATTTGTTAATCAATAATATTAATTAACATTTCATTTTCTTTAACTTTTTTTAACACAGGCCCCACTATCACCATGTCCCATTCCTGATATCAGTGATGATGAATTGGTTTCCATTTCCGTGCGCGATTTAAATCGTACTCTAAAAATGCGCGGATTAAATCGTGAAGAGATTGTACGCATGAAACAACGTCGTCGTACTCTTAAAAACCGTGGCTACGCTGCCAGTTGTCGCATCAAACGTATCGAGCAAAAAGATGTTTTAGAAACGGAAAAAAGTCATGAATGGACCGAATTGGAACAAATGCATGAGGAAAATGAACAATGTAGTCGTGAAATTGAAAATTGGAAAAAGAAATATGCTGCCCTGTTACAATTTGCGGCCCACAATGATATTCCAATACCACAGGAATTGGAAACGTGTTAGACCGTTTTATTTTCCTTTTTGGTTGCTTCCACAGTGAAGCGGTGATTGAAGTACAAGTTTTTTCCTATAGTTTTATTTCTATAATGTAATGTTAGTTTTAATGAAAGTGTAGTTAGCACAACTACACTTGCATTGTATACGTCCTCTGTAAAATAAGTTATATACAAAAATATATAAAATAATTGTATCTACAATAATTTAAAAACAAACGAAAGTGTCTTTGTGTGGGATTTTACAACAGTGTATATTGCCTGATTTTCAGTTTAGTATTTTTTGACCTTATTTAAAGCAGCCCTGTCTTTATAAAACGCGTTATTTACGAATTATTTGTATAAACATCTCAAATAACTACTTCAGAAAAAAACAATATTTATAGGCCTTTTTTATATATATATTTGGACTCTTCCAGAGATAATCAAGCTTATGAGCTTTCTGCATACTGTCTAAATATATTTTTACGATTACATCATATACAATAGTCTTAGTAACTAGATATTTTCTTCCATTCTATATTTTTACGATTACATCATATACAATAGTCTTAGTAACTAGATATTTTCTTCCATTCTAAATCCTAGCTGGAATTTCAACCTGAGGATACATCTTTTTAATTTTATTTCGTGTAATATATTCAGCTGCCTTTTCATCTGTATATGCCCCATTAAAAATCTTGCGATGTCTTGTTTTCAAATGAACTCGTAATCTAAAATATAACAAAATAGGTTTGATTACAGAAAAAAAATAATTTCATATTCGTCATACTTAAAAATTGACGGAAATCCTTTTTCACACAATTTGCAGCTAAAGGGATAACCACGGTGCTTAAATGAATGCTGTCGCAAACTGAAGATGTGACCGAAATCTTTATCACATACTTGACACTTGTAGCGAACACCTTCGTGTTGTTTACGATGATGATCGAAATGGGTTTTAATAGCAAATGTACGCTGGCATTTATCACATTTAAATGGAAATTCCCTGGTATGAAAACGTGTATGTATTCTCAAATCCTTGGCCGTTACAAATTCTTTGTCGCAATAGGAACATTTCAATACATCTCCAGTATGTCTCTGCATGTGCAATTTTAAATTCCATTTGCTTGTTAAAGTTTTTGAACAAATATCACATAAAAACTCCTCGTCTAGATGAGTTCTATTTTGAGCATTGTGAGCAGTTTGTGTGTGCTTTTTGAGGTTTCTCGTTGTGAAGAAAAAACGATCACACTCCAGACATTCATGACGATTCAATTTGGTAGAGCCGTGTACAGTCTCTTGGTGTTTAACAAGGGCGGACTTTGTTAAAAAGCTGCGATCTAAAAGAAAATGTGAGATGTTTTATTTCCATAGGAAAAAAAATTAAATTAAAGCTTATCCCGATCATACCACAAGATTTACATTCGTGTTTGGCCTTTTTGTTGTCGTGTTCTTTTTCCACATGTGTTTGTTTATCTCTGGAAGGAATAAATTTTCCACATTTTTCACAATCCTCGTAGTTTTTATTGTTATGTACAACATCCTCATGGACCAAAAGGGCATCCTCTGACATAAAGTACGTTTTGCAGGTGTCACAAGCAAATTTCAACTCGTGTACGTCTGAAAATATTACAAGTTCATTTTAAACATTTGCTGGCATAATATTTTTAGTCCCAAGACTCATACAGTATCAACGGAAACTGACCCTTTGTATGTAAATACCCCTGGAAAAATCTTCTATCCCTAGAAGATCCATAGAATTTATCTGTATTGAATAAAAACCAAAAAGATCTTTGTGTAAAAGACCAGGAGTAGATTTTCTTAAAATATTTTTCCTTATATGGATCTCCGAAAGCTATTTCTCAGAAGTCGACCAGTCATATATCAAAACAAGAATAGACCCATCTTCTAATCATAGAAGATCCAATTTACAAATATTCGCAGTAGTTCTTCTAGAAATAGTTTTACTTATATGGGTCTCCCAAAAATCTATTATGGTCCCTCTACTCACCATGGGTGTTATAATGATCATGTAGCTCACGTTCCAATTTGAAAACTTTACAGCATGATTCACATTTAAAATTAAATTTCCTTATCATTTTTGTTCCATTACTGGGATTGGCTGACTTCTTAGAAGACTTTATGGAAGTAGTTTCTTCATTTTCCACCTCTATGAGGATCTCTTCGAAATCCAAGACAATGTTTTTAGATTTTTTTAAATTATTTTCATCTTTTTCAGTCGACCTAACTTTTGTTGCTCCACTTTCTTTGGAATTTGAAGTTATATTAAAAACTGCATTTATATCCGATCCTGAATCAATATCTAACAAATTATCGAGGGATTCTTGGTAAACCTTCATTGTGTAATCATTTGGATTCATATATTCCGAAAGCAAATTGTTCTAAAAGTATGGAATATAAATATTATTATTTTGAATATAAACTATAAATAAATACCTCATCTTCCTGTCCTACATTACTTTGCTTATAATCGTCATTATCATTTTCTTCCTCATCGGATTTAGTTGTGCCAAATAATTCATATTCCAGATCAATTGTTGTATTATCAGCTGTTTTATTGTCGGCCCACAATTCATCATCCAAATCATTGGCACTGCCATCGTGGGTACTATTTTCATACATTGACATTAGAAAATCTTCATTTTTTTGTGATTGCACTATAAACCCAATTGTTCGACACAAATGCACTCGGCATTTTACACAAATGTAGGCATAGTCCATAAGGCTGTCAGCATTAAAATGATCTGTTGTGCCACCCTGACGTATGCAATAGTAATAGCAATGTAAATATGTGGAAGCCTTGAGACCATTCCTCAATTGTATTACTGGTTCTGGTGGCTGCAGCAGGTGATGGGCTTTCGAAACGGAGCTACGTATTTCTTTGAGACAAACACGACAAAATTTCCCTTTATATTTTTTAACTGGTGGCATATTTTATTTGTTTATTTAAAAACAAGTTGTGTTTAAGATTTATGTGTCGTATCCTTGGGATAAATGCAAGAACATGCGGTATATATTGTGCGCAGGATCCATTTACAGGTGTTTTGCCAGGATTGTTTACATTTATGAAGGCATTTGATTTAACGAGTATTTCAAAAAGACTCAGTGCAGCAAAAGCTGTTTAAAAGTTTGGAAACAAAGAAAAAGGTTGACTATAGCAACCAATCTATTCTGCCTGTACAATCCATACAGACATTGAGGTCAAAAGCCATTCCTTCGATCATTTCATTGATTATACGCCTAGTCCTTGTCTACGATGACTCCCGTTTGGTGGCAGCCGCCATATAAAAATCCATACGGGCATTAGTTACACTGATTTCAAATAGCTGCAAAAATGTAATCAAAGTTGTAGGTAGAAGTGTAGTGTCCCACATTTATATCCATTAAGTATTTGCAAAGAGAAACCCCTGGCATGCCACTTCATACCACAAAAGCTTTACAACAAAAGGTTATACAAGCTCTTGAATGCAGCATTACTGAAAATTTGCAACTGCACTACTTTTCCTAGCGAAAATTTTCCTAAAATTCTTCAACAATTTACGACATAATTCCGATCAAATGAAATAGTAATAAAACATACTACTGCAGACTTGAGTAACATAAAGAGGTATCAATAAGAAAATCTTGATTCATCTCTTTCGAATACATATTTCATTGCATATTCATTAGAAAACTTTCAGGTTTATTCATATTTTAAACATTTTTCATTTAGAACCAACAAACGATTCCTACCAGGCACCAAATCACAAGAAAACATTTATTTAGGTGTAGGACTGGGGTGTTTAAATCGATGTATTTCCATTCTTCATTAAATTTATAATTCATTAACACATCCAAACTAATGCCCAATTCAAACAGTAACAATAATTTTAACTTAATTCTATTCATATGGTCGATAGGTGACGATTTGATGGGCCACCACATTTAAAATTTCCCGGGGTGACATATCATGTTGTTCGTTGATAATTGCCGTGATGCGAGCACATTCTTTTATGTAATTTTCCAATTCTTTGAGATTTGGTGGTTTGCGGGGGTTCTTGGACGATTGTAGAGCCTGTAAACATTGGCCAGTCATATTTGCTAGCTGAGAACGCGGCGGACTGAATATCTCATCCAAATCGTAGAGTTCCAAAGGTGGCGCAGCGGGTTCACTAAAAATCGGCGGAAAAGTCTAAAATCAAAAATTGTGTAAATTATTAGTAATTTTTTGTAATTATATCCTTCTAATCAATTAAATTGTGTTTTAAATAAAATTAAAGCATTTAAAAAACATACCGCCAATTGCAAAGCTGGCAATGGGATTTCAAATTGGGGTTTTATAATTTTCAATGGTTCATATTTAACATTTAACTGTTGATAGGTATTGATGACATCCTTGAGCAAACGATTGCTCAAAGAACACAAGGACATGTCGAACATTTTCTTAAAATCAGCCGGTATTTCAGAGCCGATGGAATCAATCAGACAGGCTTTTGGTAAGTCGGCAATAAAACCAATATCCGTAAATGTTTTGTTATCATTTAGCTGGAATCGTAATAGGAGGTATTAACATATTTTTTTAAAATGATAACACCACTTACCTCAACATCATTAAAATCCAAATGATTAAATTGTATGTCATTGGTAGCCAACAATTTGAGTATGTATTCCAAAATGACATCATTTGTCTTATAGCTGGTCAAATATTTATCATGAAACATATAACCCGAACCAATGGCCAAAATTTTACCCTTCGCCTCGTTACAATAATATCCAGCCAATGGCCGATTAAAGGGATACACTACCGGGCCGGTTGTAAGTAAAACATTTGCCGGATCAGAGACATTTAGCGTTGACCCATAAGGATATTGGAAATGTAGCTTATATTTTTCATCACTAAAATCATAGTCAACTTTATCGGCCGGTTGCTTTAGTATATGCCTCCACATTGATTCGCAGACCACACCACCTCCAATCGAGCACTCCTTTGGATGGAAATTCTTGTAGTAATGTGGACGTATAACATTGTCTGAAAATTGATTTCAATTCAATTAAACGAATGATATTTTGTAATGAATTATAATCATTCTTACCACTATTTATGTATATGCCATATTGTTCCAAAAAGAAGTTCACATTTGTATTGAATTCATTTTCGCCTCCCTCACCAAGTAGTACCCATAAACTGCCACCATTATCCACAAAGGACTTTAGTACTTCAAACTCCTCTTCGGTAAAACGATCTTGGGGCCCAGCCAAAATAAATATTTTCACTTTGGCCAAGATTTCCGGTTTCAATTCCATATCATTCCTGAAAAAAACAACAATACAATATGAACAAAATCTTTCTTTTCTGGGGAACAGAAATATAATAAACATTTTTAATGGATTGCAATGAACTGGTCTTTTAGCAAAAACATAGTCTTTAATACTCACTGTTCTATAATGTATTGCGATTTCAATTTGCGATGTAACATTTTATAGTTGTCGGTTATTTGGAATCGTTCATTTTTTGAAATATCAAAACAAATCACATTTTTTGAGGACATTTTGTAAATAAACAAAGATTGTTAATGAAAATTTCATGTAAATGTGCACTTGTCAGTAAATTCTCGCATGCCATAAAAACCCAGTTGCTATGCAACGGTCATTGGTTAATTCCAGAATTGTGTAATAACGGCTTAGCGACTCAACTGAAAGTAGTAAATGCTCTGTGCCAGAATTGCAAGCATGTAAAAGTTTTTTATTACGATATTCGATTTTCCCTTTATGTTATCGGAAAAATTGCAGAACTATTATATTCTTGTGCTCAGAGTTTTTGTCAATTTCTCCCACAAAATTAAAATCAATCCATTGATCTGTTTTACATCCAAATAAAATAAAAACAGTAATATTTAAAACATTCTTCTTAATTTAACCTCCAGTTCTTGACGTACAAGATTTTTTTATTATTCGTTTTTTTAACTAAAGACATTTGATGTAAACACGACCTATTGCATCGAATCTGGCAACGATTTTGTAATATCAGCATGTGAAGTGCACCATTTTTTTTTCGGTGTGTCACTTGTGAAGAAAAAAGACGTGTAGTTGAGTATTTTTAGCCAATACTTATTTTTTTGGTAAACATTTCAAAGGAAGAAATAATCTAGATCCAATTTCATTATGAGTGTCGATTATTCAGTTTGATCTGTTATGTGGCGTTTCCACTGCACTTGATTCGCTCTCTATTCGTTGTTTGACCCTTAACTATGAAAAAACTACCTAATTCTTCACACAAAATTTCCTGAGCGAACACTCATATTTGTACGTTGTTCAAATCAAATCACTCTCAGAACAACGAAAAAATATGTCCCATCCCTAACAAATGAGAGTATTTATCGAAAAAATAAATTATGACATTTAAAAATTAAAAATAGAAAAATTTGATGAAATTTTAAAAATTTTTGGGAAGACTGAAAATTATGAATGAAAACTACAATGTTGAATGGGGTATGTTCATTCAAACGAAAGTAAATTTTGTTTTCTCTCTCATTCGAGGTACGCATTTTGTCCACGAGTTAAAATTTCCACAGAAAACGCAAACAAAAGAGGCAACATTTTCAAAATGTTTCTATCGGCAGAAAAAATGTTTGACAAGTGTCTCTCCAGCAGAATTTAAAAATGGAAAAACACAAAAATGTGTTCAAAATGTCAACATTTACACAAAAAGTTGAAATCGTGAATGAAAATTGTAAAATTAATGATATAATAAATCTTTGGGAGGAAAACAATAATTTCTTCTATTCATATTAGTGAGAATTTCATGGATTTTCGTATAAATTCCCATTAAAATCAACAAACAAAATTTTTGAAAAAAGGAATTATTTTACTATGAATTACGAATCGTGCCGTATGAACGGGTTAATTCGTGTACTTAATTCTGAGAGCGAACAACGTTGTTCGGTTTCCAATGGAAACATGCTATTATTTACATCAAAGTCACATAATCGATTATGAACAGTGAAGTAATCGGTTTTAAACACAGTCCATAGTCGACTACAACTGACAGAACTTTGAGTACTAAAAGTCGATTAATCGAAAGTCGACTTAACTATCCCTAGAATACACATGTACCTGAGTATTTTTAGTCATTCATTTGTGTTCAAGAGTCCGCGCTGTGCAAATCTAAATCAAATTCAAAAACATGGGTGTTCCAGCTGGTGATGTTGAAAAGGGCAAGAAACTCTTCGTCCAACGTTGTGCTCAATGCCACACTGTCGAAGCTGGCGGTAAACACAAAGTAGGCCCCAATTTGCATGGTTTGTTCGGCCGCAAGACTGGTCAAGCCGCTGGATTCGCCTACACAGATGCCAACAAATCCAAGGGCATCACCTGGAATGAAGATACCTTGTTCGAATACTTGGAAAACCCCAAGAAATACATCCCAGGCACAAAGATGATCTTTGCTGGTTTGAAGAAGCCTGGAGATCGCGCTGACCTCATTGCCTACCTGAAATCCGCTACCGCTTAATTTCCATCCCGTTTCATCGCCACAAATTATAATTTATGTATAACTAAACCTAAATCAATTCTTTATGTTAATACCTAAATTTTAAATAAACATTACTTTAGTTAATGTAAATTTAAATTATTGTGAAACGAAGTATGCTGGAGAGCAATGTATTAGCAACATAAATCAATAGAATAAAACGAATCATTATTACCTCACATTTACCAAACACAAAAAGTCGGGGTTTTTCATTTTGCTAGCTTATCTTTGACATTTACGTAATGAAAGTGTGACTCGTGTTGTGGTGGTGCGCTACCCGCCGTCGCTATCGACTACCCTCCCTCGTTCCAAAAAGTGTTATAGACACACACACATGGATGTATTATCACCCTCAACGCATATCAAAAAATATTTCCGTAAGTTTGAAGTTCAAATTCATAGACGACTATACAACGTCACGTGTGAAGGCGACCTAACAACAACAACCTGGAAGAAACTACGAGATGTTTACATAAACAGTTTAGATGAAATGGAAGCATCATGGGCATTATGTATGATTTTTATTCATTAAACTGGTGAAATTGTTAGTGAAGGTTGATTGTCTGGTGACTGGCTGTTGTGACGTCGTTATTGATTATTTTCACAAATACAGTTGTTTGCCAAGCAACAACAATAAAAAATCGTACACGATTAAAAAGCTTACTGGTGCTAAGCGTTATGGAATATTTTACGCTTACATTGTTCTAACGTTAATTCTCGATGGAGGGAAGAAAGTATGACATTATTTCATGATTTCCTTTGTTATTTCATAATTGCAAAGCATAAGTACCATTTCCTCAAAGATTTTGTATATGGTCAGAAATACCTATGAATATTTGGTTCCTCCAGATAACATGTAGGTATAAACAAATTTTTCGCTGAGTTGCGCAATAAAGAAAGCATCTGGTTTAGTGTGTGTATGTGCTTTTTCATGGAAAAACTTTTATTAGCCAGACATTGCATCATATAGCGCGTCTATATTCAGAATGTAAATTATTTATTTTCAGAAGGCTGAATGCATATTCTTGAAAATTTTGAAAATAAGAATTATATAAGCATTTCGAAGATAACTGTATCATTACTTTTGAAATAATGACTTTAATCTTTATGTTTTGAATTAAATTACATTCAATCTACAAATAATAACAATGTTTACTTTCTATAAAAGAAAGGAAACTATTATTGAAAAATCTATACTTGAGTTACATTTGCTACTTTGTGATCCATGGTTCTTAGATCATAAAATATATTTACCCTAAATAAGTCAATCTCTCTGTAATAAATATAGAAAAAAAACATTCAAAATACGCATTGAGCTGTAGGTTTCAATGTGAAAAAGTTTTCGTCTAAGAGTGGAAGAAAATAATTTGAAGAATTAACGCAATTTTAGTCTTCTTTACCAGAAATTATATTTATATCGGACTAGGCAATCTCCGCCACATAATATGTTTGTCAATACGTTTGTAAGTCATCAAAATAGGCATGTATATATTTAATGTTTTATAAGACAATTCATGTATGTTTTTTTGTCCATCGGTTCCATACGTAAATTGAAGAATTAAAGCAATTTTAGCCTTTTTCACCAGAAATTATATTTATATCGGACCAGTCAATCTGCGCCATGTAATAAGTTGTCAATAGGTGTGTAAGTCATCGAAATAGGTATGTATATATTTAAGATTTTATAATACAATTCACGCATGTTCTCTTGTCCATCGATTAAAATCGTTCAATGACCCAAACGCCTACAAGTTTGTCTGCAAGCTTATGAAACTAAAAATGAGTTATTTTGGTCCACAATTTTGCATAGCTCCCATAAAAAGCCACCACCCGGTTGTAGGTTTTTTAACAGTTCCTACCGATTTGGATCGTGTACGCCAACTTTAACAGCGCGATTTTAGGTACATTGAGCTAGATTTTATGTATTTTTAAGGGTATAATTTCATTTTGAATTACATTTTTTTCAATTTTGACATCCCACTTGAAATTTTGCATCTTAGCACAAAGTATTCGATCCGTGCTGCAATATAATTCAAAATTGTAACAATTTTAGAAGGTAAAAAAAGGCTTTTGAAATTTTGGTCATATTTTAAAATCTTTTAATTTCCCAAAAATTCTGCCCCGAACTTAACATTTTTTTTACTTTTATCGCGTAGGAAATAATTTTTGATTCTTAACATAAAGGCTATACTAATTAGTTCTTTAAACCCTGCGTCTCCAAAAAGAAGTTATTTGTACTTTTTTTGTTTGTATTCTACATAACTTTTAAAAACTAGGGGTCTGTTTTTGGTATGACGATACGAAAGGGAATGCGAAGTAAAGACACAATTCCAATTTGTTTGGAGTCAAACATAAAATGTGTTTTCTTTTGCTTTTGTCACACAGAAGTAAGTTCATTTTCTAATTGGGCAACACCTTTGGATTAATAACTTAATAGAGCTTAATGGAACTATAACGAATTATGTTCTAAATATTTCCAAATGATTATATCATTGATTACCAAACAATTCTCCAATACTGCAATGTGGCATATAAATACAACTAACAATTTTACAACAAATATAGATAAGATAAACTTTGCAGAAGCCGACTACGGTGACAAATATCAAATAATAACACCAGTCTGCAAAATGATGTGTTAAATAAAGTAAAAAAATGAATAAGAAAGTCTATTATGATATACACATAGGTCATATTTCAATAATTTAATTTGCAAATAATGTACAAGGTCATGCATTTAGCTTTCTATTAATAATTGTTTGTAATACAATTGTTTCATCGCATTAGATGTGTTAATTATTCTATATTTACACATTTTGTTACTTATTTTAATGGGTAGTATAAAATGTATATTCCCAGCAAAATGTTTGATGCCAAAATAAAGTTCAATTATAACGACTGATTGAAGGTTACAACTTCTATTTTACATTTTGATTGCATCTTTTCCATGGTACTTTGGAAGAGAGTAAACAATTATTTGCATTTTTAATATAAAATAATAAATTATCCTATGTGTATATTGCCCTTGTTACAACTTATGATCCGAAATTCAACCATAAATTCATTTACATTCAATCTGAACCGATCTATTTGGCAAGACATTTCTAGGCTGTGTCCTACATCTTTCGTGGAACATGATGGCTATGGAGTGCATATTACAGCTCTGATGGACTAAAATATCAAATCGCATCCAAATCGCTCCAAAATCCATCATATATTGGCTGATATTACACATGTCACATAACATGCGTAACGAAGACATCACATAGTGGTGAGTTCGGTTTAAATATTGTTTACATCATATAATGGCAAATCTCTTAAAGGAAAGTGAATGCTATTAAGCCTATGTGAATGCAGAAGAGCAAAGAGAAAGCTTTCATTTGTTACTAATGGCGGCAGTGCGACACTTTAAGTTATGTACACCCATGGTGAAATTAAATCAAAGGCACTGCTATTGGGGAAAACCCGCGAAACAAGAATGGAATGGAATTGAATCTAAAATAGTAGGAGTTTTATAACAGTTTTATCTCAAAATTTTACAATCTTTTGCCCCCATTAACGTGGAAAATATAAATTTATTTTGCAACCGAATTTGAAATTTCAAATTATTGTATTTTCTATTGTATTCCATCTCGTGGAATAACCCCGAAATTCCATTCTTATTTCGCGGGTTTTACCCAATATAAGAATTTTGATAATAAAAAAAATTAAAAATAAACAAAGCCGACTGTTGCATATTTAAAAGCACAAAGTTTCATTTTTCTAGTTTCTTTGAAGTTGAGCAACCTTTCTTATTGAGCCATGTGAACACCTAAATTTTGATTTCAATACGATTGATATATTGCTTTTTTATTTAAGGATATTGTTATTTCATGCAAATGTTGACCTCGACTGGGCTTCAAAAAGTCCATCTACTTAGTAAAATTCATGGTAGAATCAAGGATGTAAAGTCATGCAATCATATGTATACAATTTTTTTTTAAAAATTATTTATTTGACAACATCTCATTGCCAAAATTTGTACATACACAAATCAGAGATGGGAACCTGTTTTTATGTTGTGAAATGTGTCAATTTAAATTACCGAAAATGCAGGGATGGGAATGCTTTTTTAAAATGACTTTACCTTCTTTGTTTTAAAAAAATGTTGGACTCACAAAAAAGTATAAAGACTTTAAATCGCACTATCTGTTTAAAATAGTGTCTAACAAAAAGTAATAGTAAAGTAATAATAATTATAAATTGATAAGAAAATTGTGTATATTGGCTAACATATTGTCTGTTCCAGAACTGCTAGAATGTTAAAGTTTTTACTACGATAATCGACTTTCCCTATGATGTCGAAAAAAATTGCAAAATTAGTAGATTCTTCCAGTTTCTTGAACAGACCAATAGTATAATTATTAGAAGCTTACTGAAAGTGCTGAAGATTTGTTGAAAGTAATAATAAAGTGAATTTTATTACAAACGAATTTAATAAGGCAATGAAATTAAATAGAGCAGCAAACTAACTGTTTTCTGAATATTTCTTACTCTGAAACCAAAGAATTTATGTTTTTTGTTTTCAGATATTTTATTCAAAGCTGATAAGTTGAAAATATCTGGTAATAGTGCGTTTTTATGCTTTGTTTAGATTCATAATAGAGGTTTTATATTATATTAGTGTTACTTTTTTAACAACAAATGTATGTATTGTTATTATTTTAAATTATTATAGAATTACACTGGCAATTGTCTCAAATTCTTATCAGAAAAAATACTTAAATAGATAGGCATATAAAAAAATGATGTTTCGCCAGGCCACTTATTTTGATAAGTAAGAAATCGATGCATGGTTATCGGCGTGTAACTTGCTATCGAATTTGCAGCGCAAAGCAAGCAGAAGGAGACAATCAGTAGAAGGCTGCGAATAAATTCATTGTTAACTTGGGGTTGTTACTGCCTAATTGTGCAATTTTGTTCAAATAATAAGAAAATAATATCAAATATTTACAAAATTAATTATTTGTTTCACAAAATTCGAAAATATAAATAAATAATTTTAAAATTAAAAAAGAAAACCACCTCTGAGGAAGATATTCATCAAATACCTAGCTGCCTTCTAGCTTGTGTGTATGTGTAACAAAACGAAGTAATCAAGCAAAATCGTGCGATATACATACAGAAAAGATGGCCACCACAGCCTCATCCACTGATTTACCACCCAGCACCAATGAACGCCATTATTATGCAAAGTTGGAAGCTATTAAAGATATACGCGATAAAACGATATCATTAGAGAAGCTAAAGGTACGCATTATTCGAGAGGTGAAGTTGAGTGACGATGAAGAAAAGTGCCTGGATGAATATCGCAAAGAATTGGAACATTTGTTGGAAGAAAAGATGTCGCATGTCGAGGAGTTGCGACAGATACATGCCGATATTAATGACATGGAAAATATCATAAAACAGACCAAGGATAATCAGACACGTTCGGTGGACATGGCTAATCGTCATTATGAAGATTATTTAGCATTGAAGTATCAAATAGACCACATGCGGCGTGAATATTTGGGTCTGAGTCCATTGAGAGATTTGCACGAGGAAGAAGGTAGTCCAATATCAAAGGACCGGTTTCAGAGTAATTTCCTAAAAGTTGCGGCCCAAAATGCATCACAGTCTTCAGCGCTGGCTAGGCCACACCCTAGACATCCATTGATGCCAGAGTCTGCAGTAGCAGCACTGCCACCCTCGACGCCAAGTGGGCCAACATCAGGGCCACCACCACCCACAGGCGGTCATGCGTTTATGCCACCAGCTCCACCGGGAAGTGCTCAAAGTCCTGCTTCTGCCGTACGCCTTGGTAAAAGTGATTTTTCAGCTCCTCCACCTCCTCCCCCGCCCTCGAGTCGTCTACAACAAACGCCATCTATTGGTTTGGGTCATCATCCCACATTTCGTTCGGATTTCAATGTAAATCTACGACAACAACCACCCCCAATGAAGTCCTGCCTGTCGTGTCATCAACAAATTCATCGTAATGCTCCCATATGCCCGCTGTGTAAAGCCAAATCACGTTCTCGCAATCCCAAGAAGCCCAAAAAGAAAACCAATTAATATGCCGTATTTTAAGGATAACATGAATGAAGCAAATGTAAGTGGACTGAGTCTCTGTGTATATGCAAATGTTTTCCTTTTACAAGCAAGGGTTAAAGCATTGTTAGGTAAGCTTAAGTGAAAACAAAAATTATGTGAATTTTCTATTAAGTATTTTACCGATTTTCTTGCCGTTTTTTTATATTTATTTTATATAAAATAGTATTCATATATTTTCCTATGTTATAATATTTTTAACATTACATCTTGCCAAGCATTCTTTTTATGTACAACCAAACAAGGGGATGAAATACTAAAATGTCTGCATTGGCTCGACAATGGGATTAGTCATAATATTTTAAACACATACATACAAATCAAATTTACACGCTGCGATTTCACAGGATCTAACAAAGGATATAGGTATGAGCAAAAGAGTGTTTTCCTACATTTTCGACAATTTTTGTTGCCTATTTTAAGGCGAAACTGTTTTATTCATAACACAATGGAATCTCTGGATTGAAGTTATATGTTTGTCTGTACATCAACTGTAAATGAAAAAAAAAAAATATTATTCCATTATTAGGAAGTAAAATATCAAAGTATCCAAAAACATATTTGATTGGAGATTTACCAAAATATGGAACATAAAAATTTATTGTTCCTCCCTTGGAGAAGCTATGTGCCTTTGTATTGGCAAAAACTGAATTCACCCGAAAAGTAGATGCTTTGTATTGTAACTTATGCATTTTGGGTTCTTTCCTGCCCCTTGATGTTTAGCCGAAAAGAAATGAAGTGTCATAAAAAGAAAATAGGAGATCAATTATAACTATTAACAGAATACATAAATTTAAATAAAATACCTAATAAAGGAAGTAGAAAATGTCCTATGAGTATATATGTTGGGAGACAATGCTTAAAGGTTGTCTAAAGTTATTTTTGTGTATAGTCTCAATATACACAATATAAGGGCCACCATATCTTATTATTCACATAAGTTTAATCGCCTGCAAAAGCGTTTCTAGGTGGAAAATCGTTACTGATCATTAATGCAGAAAACATCTCATTATTTTCAGTAGAAATCGTATTATCAGATGTTGAAAATTTATTAAAATTATTACTTTCTTGTTTATTCTTCCATGTCTGTGACTAATCCAATTCGGATTCTTTTTACGTGCCCGATACCCTCACGACTCAGGCATCTCTTCCCTGATACTTTACCTACATTATTGTTCCTTCAACTTACACTTCCACCCGGATTCAAGGGGGATCCCCCTGCATTCTTTTAAGATCCGCAGTAACTTCAATTCAAACTTGGACATTACATAACATTAGAAATACTATTTCTTGATAATGATCGATATAATGAGGATGTTATAAATGAAATGAAACTCCACTTTAGACACTTCCTTTGCCCATCAGAAAAAAATCAAATGAATCGCACTTCATGCTTTGAAACACAAATAGCGTCTGAGCAATACTGTTTTTTTGTACAACATTTTCGACAATTTGTTATTGCCTATTTTCAGGCGAAGCTATTTTTTAGCATTATTAATATCACCAAGGTATCTCTGGATTAAAATTATTTGTTTGTCTCTGCAACCATGCGTAACTCAAAAAATATTATTCCACTATTTGGAAGCGAAATATCGATGTATCCGAAATCATCTTCGGTTAAAGATTTACCAAAATATGGTATCTAAAAAAATTAGTGCTCCTCCTCTGGAGGAAGTTGTGTGCCGTTGTATTGGCCAAAACTGAAATAATCCGTAAAGTTTATGTCCTTTATAACAACTTATCCAATTGGGGGAACTTTTTGTCCCTTGATGTTTAATCTGAAAGAAATGAATTGTAATAAAATGAAAAGGGAAAGTAAATTTAAAGTATTTGATGAAAACAAAAATTTGTGTAAAATAAACAGGCAGATATATTAATTTATAAGACCCAACTTGAAAATTTAATAATCTCCATTGTACTTTTATATAAAAAATAATTACTATATTGGATAGTGAAAGTCATCAAAAGTACAAATAATTAAATAATATGACGGAAGAAAAGTTCTACGAAAATATCTTTAAGAGACCCAACGTAAAACACTAGATATTTTGGATATATTTAGGATGTCCGACGTGCGAAGTTTATACTATTGCTTGATTATTCCACATTATGTGAAAGTTATTGCGTAGGACCAAATACGTTGTCTGATTAAAATTTTTCCATCTTATGAAGTCACAATTCTATTAGCGTCAACCAATATAGATCTGACAAAATATTATAAAATTGATTATTCCATTAATAAAATTTTTTATTGTTGAAATTGCAAAGACCATAAAATGAGTTCATGTTACAACCGACAAAAATTCTTTCTGTGTATGCATGCAAATAAGTTGAATGGTATTTATGCATTGCAAAGCAATAGTATTATTTAATAAAAAGCTCATATTCTAAACTCAACGGTTAAAATAATGCCTTTGTGGCAGAAATGAAGAATTTGTTGAATATCCAATTTGTGAAAATGACGCGGGAAGGACGTAACATATCGCCTATATTGTAGCATATTTGCTTACAATAGGTTTAAGGCGAATTGGTTAAAGATTGGCCTAAAAGCAATGTTATAAATGTGAGTTATTTTAAACCATGCTCTATAGCGCGTTGTTTTAAAGCATGTTTTAAACCATCTTAAATAATGATGAAACTGAAAACGCAAGGAATACGATCATAATTAAAGGGGAGAACCTTAAGTAACCAAACAAACACTTTATATTTCCATGGTAATATCCTAATATTTTACCCTTAAAATCCCTCTCTATAAAACCGTTTAAAAATATTTATAAATAAATAATGAAAGTGTAGCGTAATATATATTTTACATAGACAACCCCTTATTATCATCCATGAAAAGTTGATTTGATTATTGCACTCCTTCTGTACATAGATATCAGAGTATTATTACTTGAAAATCTACGCATATAATTAAACTTGTATAAGTTGTAGGCGAAAAAACGGTATGTACTTTCAGTTTTACAAAGAGATTTGTAAAAATTTATAACTTTGAATCTATCTGTCCCAAACTCAAATGCTGAGCCATCCTCTAATTATATTCATTACAACTAGAAAACCTGATTGTTTTTTCCCATTGCTGGTTATGTGATATTCAACATTATTCAACATATTATAACATAACTTATATTTTGCGAAAAAAAACATACCACAACATTTTAATTCCACTAAGTCTGCCAAACATTATTAAATGTATTATATTGATCTTTTTAGAATGCATTTTAAACAAACTATTAGAAATTCTTCACAATCAAGTTAAATGAAACAAAGGTATGTCGATGTTACGTTATATAGTCAATGTACAGATTTCCCACAAGGATGAGGGATCTGTTTTATCGGTTCTAAATTACAAGGTAATTTAGAGCCTAGAAAATGACTGTTGGCGGTAAATGCCACTACTTCACACTTAGGAATGAGACCTCTTGAGAGACCGCACCTTGGAGGTGGGTTAGATCGCACGGTGGGCCTGATTGGTTTACGAGGATAGAGGTTTGTCCGAACCTCGATAGTAAAGTTAAACAACAAAGTGTTTCGTCGAGTTCTTATTTCAAGACTGACTTTATTTGTTAACATGGAAGTTTAGCATTTCCTAAAGTTTTAACTAGTAAGTCTCTCTCACAGAAATGTAATTACTAGTTAAATCTTTATTATTGTTATACCGATTATAAAATGACACTGTCCATCTTTCATACGGCGAGCGAATAGCTAATTTGCTTGTCTGCGCAAGGTCCCACATTTTGGGTTCAAACGGTCGGTTAGTGTGTCAATTATGTCTAGCTTTCCAGGTCGGTGTGTGTGTTCATGGTCTATGTGTTGCATTGTACCAGCTCGCTTTTTTTATTGGAGAGTGCGTTGATTTGTGTTTGTGCCAGATTGGATCTTGGGTCAGCGAGATGTATAAATGCAAACACCCAAACTGTCCTAGTTCCGTCCGACTTCGAACCGCAAGTCGGATGCAACTCCCGATTTTAAATGAGTATTTGGTCCGATCTCTGACCGAAAGTAATGTGGTTGGAGTGGTTGGCATGCGTCTAAAGGGTCGGATGAAAGTCTGAAGTTTTAGCCGATTTCCAACCGAAGTATGACTAAATTCGCTTTGATATCCATGGGATCGGAACGATTTCGGACTGAACTCGGATATAGTATCGTGCGCATTTCTGTTTTCCGACCTTCTAATATTTTTCGGTGCGAATTCTGATGTAAATATTAACAAGAACTGTCATACTGTAATGACAAAAGCAAATAGTAATAATAACAGTCGACTATTCTTCAGTAATAACTGTTGTGTATGTGTATATACACATAGAATTATGTTCTTTTAATACAAATATAAAGATTACCAGAAAATTTTACTTAAATCTGGTACCAAAAAAGTGTATACATTCTCTTGATTAAAAAAAATATTTCTGGCACCGTCAACCTTCAACGGTCTTTGAACATTAATTGGCGAGCTCATTCGTTCCCATAGGGCACGACAACAATTACGCATTTATTTTATTCACAATGTAAAAACACAAAAAAGAACGCATAGTGAGAAACTCACCCCATTTATTTCCGCTTTGCTTCTTTACAACAAATGTTACCACACAAACACAGGACAAAAACTCTACAACAAGAGAAAAACTTCTTCCGACATATTGGCAGAGTTCGGTCAGACACTTGGGAAAAAAGTCTTCAGACTTTGAGTAGACGTGTCGCACGTCAGTTATCTGCTTTTAATATTTTGTGATTCAATGTAGCGACAGTGTTTTGCTGACGCTGCATCGAATGATTGTCTGGGAATGTGGATACAAAACCAAAAGTTTCAAATATCATTTGGAACTTTTGTGTTATGCTTAATTCAACAAAAAATAAGTGGCAATGGCCGGGACGTAACTCCTCCACCCCTTGCCAGAAATACTCCTGAATTTCTTTTTTTTTTATACATATGAATCTTTTTATTTGTTCCTTTATGGGAAGTTTTTATTCCATATAAAAGTACTGAGCTTTTACCCAATTTATCTAATATATTTTCTATATTAGGAATTGGATATTTGTTGGCGATGGTATTATCATTCAAGTTCCTATA